AAAAAAAAAAGGGAAAAAGATATGTTGTGCAGCATTGCAATGCAAAAAAAATTGGGTCCTCTCGAAATTCTTAAGCCAAATCCAAGGGAAAAAATGAAAGCATTTTTTACTTAAAACAAAATACTTTTTTCAATCCGGACGGTCTGGAGCAGTCCAGACATACGTCCGGCCAGACATCTGGACTGGTCAGGTGTCCGGCATAACTATGGTTTTTTCTTTAAATTCATTTATTTATTATTTGTATTTACTTATTTATTTACTTGGCATTTAATCATTTCGTGCGGACCGAGTCCCTCGCATGGCCTTTCAGGCCGTCACACCCAACAATGGATGGGCCCCGGCAAGCCTCGTGCCCACCCTAAGGGAATATGGGCCTGCATTTTTAGATTTGCCTTATTTTTGTCATTTCTGCATGCTGGGGCGCCAGACAGTTTCCAAGCGCCAGTTGGTTACGGGGCCTAGGCCTGTGAGACCACGACATTCGGAGCCCTCGGGGCTCTCCCAGGCAGCGACGTGGCAAGCGGCCTTTCGGACAATGGGAATGCAGCGAGTGACAGCAGCCACGTCGCACAGCTGGCCGTGAGCCTAACTGCACTGGTCCTAGCCCACTATCTGAATGGGCCTGGGCGCAGACATTTTGGCCCAACGCCAGGCTAGAGGGCACACGGCCTCCAGGCCCAGGCTGCCTCAAAGGCGCAGCACTTTCCATATAGGAAAGTGCCCGGTGCCAGAGGAAACATTCTGCCGAGCGGCCACTGGGCGACAGCGCTGCCACTCTGTGTACTTGAGGTCACCAGGGCGCACACTCTGTGTACTTGAGGTCACCAGGGCGCACGCCGGCGCTGGTGAGGTGAGAGGGGCGCTGCTAGGCATCAGGCGCAAGCGGCTATAGCCAAGCCTGATTGTGGTAATGCTGGTGACGGTATGGTGATAGTGATGGTGGTCTTCGGGTGACGGGGATGCACACTGTGGGGAGAGAGGGATGAGAGAGAGAGGGGAGAAGAGACACCTATCAGGTGTATGCAGCAGTCTGCATGTGCGACGCCGTCACGTACACGATGGACCCGGTTTCCAGCAGGTTGGGATTAGCTGGCAAAAGGGGGGTTCATCAAAGAGGGTACAAGCCTTAAAGGGTTTAAAAGAGTTGCTTCGGAAGTGAGGTCAAAGGGGAGTTGCATAAGCGGGGCTGGGGGATAGACAAACACAGGGTTCTCCAGGATGGGACGGGCAGTGATAGCAGCTCCAAGGGGTGACGGAGCCCAGGGCTCATATTAGTAACCCCCCTGGCCCCAGGGAGCAAGTGCCAATTCCGGATTTGCAAGCTCTGTTAATGGGACGCTGGGCCCGGTTTCCAGCAGGTGTCGCTCCCCACCAATAGATGGAGCAGCCCGACAGACAAGCCCTCAATTTTGGTGGTTCTCGTACCACCACTGGGATAGAGGGATGTTACAAGGGCTTAAAAAAAAAAAATAAAGAAGTGATTCCTTTTGCATGTCATAGCTGTAGGTTAGCATAGGTGCTGAGTGGGATAGGCTGGACGCTGACCGCCAAAAGAGAAGAGCGACATTGGATACTGTGTTGGTGGTGGCAAGAAGGGATGACATTGACATTTGAGCTCATTGTATTGCTCTTACTTGGCTTGTAGCTCGGTGCATTGGGCTTTCTGCTTGGGACACGACTATCTGGCTTTCAACGTGATAATACTGCAATTTGGTTTTCTGTCTATCGCTCTCACTCACTTTCCTTGCAATTTCCATGAGAGATACCTACCAGCGCCCATGCTCGATTGGCAGGAATTAATGTCAACTATCCTATGCCAACAAGCCTCAATGATTCACCTAATATAAACGCCAAGAGACCCTCATAATGAAACTTCTTTCTCTCTCTCTCTCTCTCTCTCTCTCTCTCTCTCTCTCTCTCTCTCTCTCTCTCT